CCGGGTTTTAATGAAGAGCCCCTCTGGGCCCTGGCACGGGGAGGGGTGTAGCCATGTGAAACGTGCCCAAAGCATCCTCCTTAGCGCGTGGAGCGTTTGCTCTCCACGGGGAAGACTCACCCTCTGGGGCGGAGTGCTCCCACAAGTGCTCCCCGACTGCACCCCTCCGTCGCACCGAGAGGAAAGGGAGGAAACGCTCAGACAGCTGCCAGGGGGCACAGGCCCCGAGACCAACCGCGGACTGTGGGACGCGTCCTTCCCCCGCTCACCACAGCGCAACCGCGGCGGGTCCCCGCGAAAGAGCTTTGAGACGCAGACTCTCCCCCGGGACGAGGACTTGGGGAAGTCCAGAGGCAACGAAAACAAGGGCTCTGGAGGAGCGGGAGGCCTCTCGCGCCACGGCTACGGCAGGCGGCCCGACGCCTGACACGCGGACACGGAACCCCCGTTCCTGTCACCGGGGATCCTCCAGGTTCACAAAACGTCAAGGCAGCGTCCGCGGCGTGAGTAACAAAGCAAGCACCAGCCCAGACCCGACCCGGTCGAGGAGGGGCCGGTGAGCTCGAAGAGGAACGAGCAGAAACTCCCGACCGGAACGCAAGGAGGAAAAGAGAAATGAGAGACGAACAGAACGTCCAAGACCTGGGGCAGCGTCAAAGGGCGTCACACGTGTCACCGCAGTGCCGGCGGGAGGAGAGGGACCCAGGGAACAGCAGAAACACTGCAAGTCATGACGGCTGAGCATCCTCCAAAGTTAAGCACAGACCAAGCCATAGATCCGGGAGGCTCAGAGAACACCACACGGATAAACGGGGAACGAGCTCCGCCAGGCACGTCCGACCCAAGTGCGGAAAGGCAGGGGCAGGGAGGAAACGTGGAAAGGAGCCAGACAAGAAAAAACCCCAGTTATAGGAAAACAAAGGCTTGCAGGAGACGCCTCGGCAGAAGCTCCGTGAGCAGGAAGGGGGGTACTGCAGGATTTAGCGTGTGAAAGAAGCCGGGTCTGGTGGCGCCTGTCGTCCCGGCTACTCGGGAGGCCGAGGCGGGAGGCTCACGGGCCCAGCGTTGGAGGCTGCGGTGAGCTGTGGTTGCTCCTGTGAGCTCACTGCACTCCAGCCTGGACAACGCAGTAAGACCCTGTCTCCATTAAAACACACATACACACACACAAAAAGAAATAAAAGTGTTGAAAGAAAAAACCTACCAACCTCCAATTCTACATCCAGTGAAACTATCCTTTAACAGTGAAGGAGAAATAAAGACCTTTCAAACAAAAATGGAGGGGACGCCTCTCCGCAGATCTGTCCCGTGAGAGATGCTAAAGTTCTTCAGGGCGAAGGAAGCGACAGAGGTCGGTAACCGGGTCTGCACAGAGCAGGAGCATTAGAGAGGAATAAAGGAGATAAAATCTTAGTGTTTCTTATTCTCCGTTGATCTAAAAGATAACTAGCACAGTAACGGCGCACGGAGTGATTACAGCGCGCGGATGAATGACGGTAACGCACAGGGCTGGGGTGAGGGGCTCTGCGGGGGGCACGGGCTGCCTGAGGGCAGACGGGGCACCCCAGAAATATTTTGAAAACAAGGATAATTGACAGACTAAGGGAGGAGATAAAACAGAATCATATAAAATGCTTCATTAAAACCAGAGATGGCAGAAGAAGAGGAAAAGAGAAAGAGTCGGTACAGCGAACAGACAAGCTACGAGTGCGGGGGATGTCGTATCCAACCGCGTCAACGGTCACCTTAAATGTGACGGTCTGACGTACGCCAGTCAACAACAGATGCTGTCAGAGAGGGTAAGACAAAGGCGCACGCTCAGATTCTACAAGGACTGAACAGACCTTTCTCCGAGAAGAGATGCCCAGTAAGTGCCTGAGCAGACGTCACTGTCTGGCGGGAGAAACGCAAATCAAAGCCGCAGTGTCGCTTCTCACTCGCCGAGATCGCGGTGATCGGCAAAGCAAACCGACGGTGACGGGAGCCGGAGAGGACGTGGAGGGAACGGAACCTCCCCCAACGCCGGCGGGAACGCGAGCTGCGCCCCGTCAGGAAAGTCTGGCAGCTCCTCAAAACGCTAAGCACAGAGGCGCCATGTGACCCAGCGGTCTTCCTTCCAGGTGTTTCCGAGAAAATGAAACACATGTCGGGGCAAAGACTTGTACGTGGAAGCTCATGGCGGCATCGTTCATACCTGAGGTACCTGGCCGGGGCGACGCGGGCCTTGCTCACAGCCGCGCTCCGGGGGCACTGCCCACCCCCGTCAGAAGGGGCGAGGTGGGCGGGAAAGGCAGCAGGAGGGTCCTGGGCCTTCCCAGGACCGTGGGCGGACCACCCGCCGGACTTTTAAGGCGTGCGGCCCGCCAGGGGCCCCGCAGGACGCCGCGGGGGACCTCGGCGTGGACGGCTCCCCGCCCCCACCCCCGTCCCGGCGCTCACGGACTGGGAGCTGTCCCGGCTGTTGTCCCGGGACTTGTTCTTGGCCAGACGCTTCTTCTTCTTGTGCAGGGGCCTCGACTCCAGGATCATCTCCTCCAGCTCGAAGGTGGGGTCGCAGTGCAGGCGGCCTTTCTGCGGGGACAGGGTGCTGAGCGGAGGCCCGCGGGGGTCGCCCACCACCCAGCCCCGGAGCCGCGGCCGCCCGCGGGCTTACGTTGGGCACAAAGCCGGGCTCCACCCTCTTCTGCATCAGGTCGCCCCACAGCACGGCGGCCAGCGACGGCACGGCCTGCATGTCCTGCAGGCAGGAGAGCCGGTGCTCGGGGTTCACGGTGAGCAGCTGCAGAGAGGCCACGTCAGACGGGCCACCGGGCGGCCTGCGGGGCCCAGCACGGGCCGGCACCTGCCCCGGCCAGGCGCCCTGTGGAGGCGGCCTCCAGGCCTGAGGCGCAGAAAATCAGGACCTCAAGGGCCACAGCAGTAAAGGGGGCGCCAATCTGGGCAGAACAACGTGCTCCACGACGTGACCCAAGAGACCATCTGACGTGAGCGGCGCCGGCCAAAGCCCTGGTGCCCCAGGACCACGGACGGCATCCGCGGGAACATCCTGCCAGGACCCACCAGGAGGTGGCAGCCGAGGCCTGGGTAATGCCCTCCCGGAACACTCGGGCCGTGGCTGGCCCGATGGTAGCCCCAAACCACTTGGTCTCAGCGTGGGACCTCCACGCCGGGTGGGCCCTGGGCAGCCGGCGTGACCAGGGCGGCAGCGTCCCAGGGCCGAGTGCCTCCCGCCTGGCTCACCGCACGTGTGCCGCTGCCTGTACAGGGGCTGCCACCAACCCCGTGCGAGGCTTCCCAGGCGTGGGCCTGGGTTGGGTGCATCACCCCCCTCCCCGCTTGGGCCCTCCCGAGCCAAGGCCCCGCTGTGAGCCACCTGGGCAGGTGTGGGCAGAGCTCCGTGGGGCTGAGGCTGGGTGCAGGGACTTGCTGGGGGAGGCCGCCGGGCCAGGCCTCCCTGGGCTCACCTTGCGCAGCAGGGCCACCGTCTCCTTGGACCAGGTGGGCGCGTACTGGACGCTCACGGTGCTGAAGAGCTGTACCAGGGACTCCGCGGCGTTGCCCGAGTGGATGTCGTAGGGCCTCTGGGGGCAGGGAGGTGGCACTGGGCAGGCAGCCCTCGCCTCACCGCACCCGACTAATGCCAGGCACAGCTGCCGGCACCCTGAGGGCACCCCCCTCCCACCCCAAGTGCAGGCACAGCTCTGAGCTCGGCCTCCACCCAGACGGAGGAGCCCAGGGGTGAAGCCGGCTCTGGGCCTCGCCCCGCAGGTGTACGGGAGTGGGCAGGCTTCCGAGGTGGGGTCCCGTGGGCTGGCCGAGGGGTGCGGTACCCCAGGGAGGGAGGGAGGGCAGCATGAGGCCTGGGGCGGTACCCAACCTCCTGGGCTCCGGCCGGCCGGCCTGGCCAGGGAGAGTTCCAAGGGGACACCCGCTAAGCAGCTGCTGGCTCCATCCACCTCCACAGGGGCCAGCACGCAGGCCCCAGCGATGGCCCCGCGACCCCACCGAGAGTTTGCGCTTCCTTCGCTCACTCAAGCATTTGAGCAGCGACCCAGACGCTTTGCTAAAAGCGTGCGTCCTCCCCGACGGAGATGAAAACACCCCAGGGGCCACGTGTGGGGCAGCCGCGTCCCTCCCCGGCACTCGGGCCACCCCGGGGAGCAGCCAGCCGGCAGTCCACAGGAGCTCATACCCATCCTCGAAGCAGCTCGTAGGCCATCACCCCCACGGACCACCAGTCCACTTCGAAGGAGTAGCCAGACCCCCCGTTGACGAAAGAGTGGAAGATCTCTGGAGCTTCCCGTCGGAAGGAAGGAACAGCTGGGCCGTCACAGGGCCAGAGGCCCCAACTGCAC